AGTTTATCGCTTTCACAATATCCTTTTGTTATTGCGGATGTTTTAACAGCGTACTGCTATACTATTGATACTGCTGGTCCTTTAAAGATCTATAAAGGGTGATGATGCCGATTTTCTGAGCGGAACTCTTAGTAGCAGAGTTGTTGCTTATGGTTAGATAAAGACGAAACATAAAGCGTACAACTACATGCCACCGTTCGTTGCTCCTAAAATCAACCTTTGTTCGCCTTAAAAACCAACACAGCATTGATTATGAGGTCCAAAAATAGAAGAGAATTTCTTAAGGGTTTTGGCGACAATAGATCTGCCACTCAACTTAACATGTGAGCGGTCTAAGTAGCGCAACACCACAAAGGGAAAATTCCTCCGAGTCTCTCCTCCACAAAGACGCTCCCGCTGGGCATCCCAATGAAAATAGCAATAATCGAAAATAGCCCCGCGCGCTTACTTTTCTTCTTCTCCCCAGCTTCCCTATGACACAAAGATACCTCTGCGGAAGAGAGAGAGGAACGTCTCAAACTGATTAATTCAGTCACAAAGAAAATACAAAGGAAATTCAGTAACAGTCTCACGAGTACTTGGAGATAAGATGAAAAACCTCCTATTTTTGCATCCTTTCAGTTTCTCCTCCTAGAATCATTTTGCTTGACAAGCAAAATCAAACATGAAACGGTATTTTAACACAAAAACTCAAACTCAATAACTATTCATACTGTCAAAAGTCAATAAATGCATATGACGACCATTTGGGTCATGGTGGATGAATCTTGGTTCCTAATGAAACACCACCAGATAAACTACCACCAGGTTTTCATCTGAAATGAAACATGTTTTCATCTCAGATCAAATACTTTCTTTTTAATTGTTTCGTTTGAGAAGACCTGTCAAAAAAGGGGGTTCGTGCCTCATCATGGGTTCAAAACACCTACGGCCTCGTGCTTTTATCTGTATTTCGGAGTTTGGAACCCGTAATGAAGCACTTACCTTAGTTTTTCACATATTACATCACACACAAGTTTGTCATACACTGTTTCATGGTCTGCTGCCACTGAAACAACTGGTTTCTCTTTATTGTTGGGGGGTAGGGGTTACAAGCAACTCGCTTGTTAAGCTATGTGGTATCAGGAGGTTCACATCTCGGTGTTTTTTATTCTTCACAGCAGCTCATAATCTTTCTAAAACAGCTACCACTCAACTTAACCACTAACTGCGCAAAATATTTTGCAACTTAAATCACTAAAATGTAGGTACGTTCGGGTGCTGACCATGAGAATAGAAAAGAGAATTGATGACGTCACAAAAAAACTAACTTTGTGAAGTTATGGGATAGGTTGGTATTTCCAGAAAGAACTGAGATGAAAACTGTTCTCCTGCCAAAAACAAGCCTTTTAGTGCAAATACTCGGGGAGGTATAAGCATTGTTATGCTCCAATGAGTCAATATAAACCCTTCTGAAATTGGTCTGGATCGTGAACGTTTCGATCCAATCCAATTTTAGAAGGATTTGTATGGAGTCATCATATATTGTATGGAGTCTATATCTTTCCGCCAATTTGCACTAAAATGCTGGTTTTTGGCATGGGGGCTTCATCTTGTTTTTTCTGAATATACCATCAAATCCTATAATTTCACGATTTTGAATTTTTGTGACGTCACACTTCCTCTCTATTACGAACCAACTTCCTAGTTCCTATTAAGAATTTCCTGTTGATCACTAAGGGCGAACAAACCTATAAAGTCAATGATGTCATGTACAAGAAAAGCAATGAAAGCTTGACAACTAAACTCACGAGACTCTATCTTAAATGGACAGGTTCACGGTTAAGCGCATGCTCATTAATTAAATTACTTCTTTTCAATTAATTATTAATTCTATCGGTTAATTATCCCACTCACTTGTATCTCAGCGATCCAAGAGTGTATTTCATAGTAGAAGTGTATTTCAGAGTAACCTGAATTTATTGTTGACTCGAAGGTTTTATTCCATGGTTGATTAATTTACAGCTATTTGCAAATATATGAGTTGATCAAGTGCAAGTGACTGCCAGGGGAGTGTGCAGATTGGTTCTTTGACAACGTTATGACATGATCATATTGGTTGCATAGACGATACAGCATTCCCAGCTGAAAAACAGCATATTTTGATAAATGAGCATGCGCTGAACCGTGAACCTGTCCCTTTAAAACAAAACAGGAACTCTGATGTAGGTAACAAACAAGATCAGCTACCGGTATTATCCCAAACGAGCCCACTTCAAGGTCTGAAAATCAATTATGCCCCATTCACACCAAAGCTAGAAACATCTTCAAAGTTGTTTAGTTAAAAACAGTTTAAAATTGTTTTCCTCATAAAAGCTGCTTACTGACCTAACCACATTGCCAAATTTAAAACGCAAATTACAAATTACCGGCGTCTTGAAGATCATTTGAATCCTGTTTAAAAGTCTGCGTGTACCAGTTTTCCGTCGATCTCTTTTTCATTTTTTGAAACTTGATTTAATTAACAATGTTTAGTTGGTGGGAATGACCCGATCAAACTCAAATGAACTTCAAGATAAATAACACTTATGTTGACAAAGCCATTAAAAAGGTAATAACATTAAGAAAACTGTCGATAGAAAAGGATTGACCTTGTTTGATCTGCATGAGTGAAACGTCAAGTGGAAACATGGGGCGCTTTCCATTTAGTCAAAATTTCCGGAATTTACGGTTCGGCGGTAAATGGAACACGTTTCGTCGGTTCGTCCCACTGGAAAATTCCCAGAAAAAGTGGAAAATCTAAAAAGGTGTTCCCGTTTTCCCGGCTGGAATTTCCGAACGGAATGTCGTGTTCCATTTACGTTTCTTGTAGTTTGTACCAGTTCCAGGTCCACGGTCGGGCACCCAGCCACGTACCGGGGTTTACGACCAAATGGAACAAATTTTTACCAATCGGAAATTCCACTTTTGCTACCACCGAAATTTCCGGGTTTTTTTCGTAAATGGAAAGCGCCCATGAAATCAACTAAATTGCCCAAGACACAAATCAAAACAACCCAGAATTAAGCAAGATTATACTACTACATGAGAAATTTCTGCAATTTGCTTGGCTTAGAGCAGTGGTGTTTCAGCTTAATTTGAAATACCTACTTGTTTAAAATTACAAACCTTTTGTGGGTATAAACAAATGATAGCACGATTTGTACGTGATATTTGGCATAAACATTATTCCCGATATTTCTAAATTGTCTCAAATTTCACTCGCCTAAGGGCGTGTGAAATTATGTATAACAATTTCGAAATATCACTGGTGGTAAATATCACTACAAATCATGATATTACCTATACAAATTTTACCTGCGATTTAAAGTTTCTCTGCATTGCATTTTCGATTCCGAACATTTTAGGTTTCCTTTCTCTACGAAAAATACCTATGGAACGGTCATGTAGAAATTATATTTTGCACAGGAAAAAGAACTACAATAAATCGAATATATTAAGACTGGCAACACAGTATTCACTTAACGTATTTGTGAAGAGATACAACGTAATTGTCAACAAGCGCTGCTGAATAATAAAACACCTTTGTCTATTCAGAATCAATTGGTATAGATCTAGAAAGGTATTGCCCTGTAAGACAGGCAATAAAAAAAATGTTGAGCATAATAGCATGGAAAAACATTTATGTCGACATCACCTTTAAAGGCAATGCAATGGATTTTCCTGGGTGGTGTTAAAAAGCGTTTCGAACTGATTGTGCACAAGTACTGCAATAGATAACGCCGCATATAATCCGAACTTTCTTTGTACATCGCACTTCAATGCATAGACCCTGAAATGTGTCATTACATTTTCACCCGACTTTATTTCCAAAACTATATTGAAAGTTTTATTATATCGCCCGAGGTACTGTTCTTAGCACCTCGGCAAAAGAGAGGCGACGGGCGGGAAAAAAATAAACTTAAAGCTGTATAATTAGTCATATTTGGGTTCTCGACTACAATGGAATTAAAGGGCCGTAGATTGGGAAGCGTGAAAAGGTTTCGCAATCATCTTTCAATTAGAAAAAGCTAAATAGAGAATCACAATGGCAGTTCCTGGTGGAACACTTGAGATCACAGTACGAGCACAAGTGGCAGAAACATTGTCGCAGAGCCTTCAAATATAAGAATTTAATTTGTATATATGGAGAAAAAAAAGATTATGTCTGCTCTGTGTGGCCACTTTCGTTTTTGCTCGTTATTAATTCTAATAACCGAACTGGGGGTTACAAAAAAATGCCGATGGTCATATTTCAAGCTTGGGTGACCTGCGGTACGAGCGTGAATTGAATATTTCTGAGGATAAAGTTGTTTTATCTTGTAAGAACGTTTGTGCCTACTCACAATACATAGACCCTGAAATGTGTCATTATATTTTCACCCGGCTTTATTTCCAAATCTATGTTGAAAATTTCATTATATCGCCCGAGGTACTGTTTTCAGCACCTAGGTAAAAAGAGGCAATGGGCTGAGACAAAATTAAAGCTGTAATTAGGTATAGTTGGGTTCACGACAACAATGGAATTAAAGGGCTGTAGATTGCGATGCGTAAAAAGGCTTAGCAATCATCTTTTAATTAGAAAAAGCTAGAAAGAGAATCACAATGGCAGTTTCCGGTGGAACACTCGAGATCACAGTACGAGCACACTGAGTGGCAGAAGCATTGTCGCGTAGCCTTCAAATATAAGAATTATAAGCGATTTTGTCTGATCTATGTTATCTGTTTCTGTAACCTACGAATGTGAAAGGATTTAAATAAAAATTGCTTAACTTCACTTAAGTTGTGTGTTTCTTCTTTCCTGTATGGTCCTAGAGCCAATATTATTGCCACTGAAGTTATGGGTTTTATTTACACCGGTTTTCAGCCCTCTCATTTTGAAGTGATGGTTGTAACTGATATCAAACTGGTTTTTATTCAAATCCTTTCACATTCGCTACAATTAAGTTCTTATATGCCGAACTGTGCGGTACAAAAAAATGCCGATGGTCATATTTCAAGCTTGGGTGACCTGTGGTACGAGCGTGAATTGAATATTTCTGTGGATAAAGTTGTTTTATCTTGTAAGAACGTTTGTGCCTACCATTTACATGGGCAAACCGGTCGGATCAAGGAAATGTTGAATGAATGATCATTGTGGCAAGAAATGGAGATTAATAAAACGTAGATTGTCTATTCATCGATACCCTGAATCTTAAAATCCCATTTTACCACGGCTTACAAGCGATAATGAGATGCAGTCTCCCTTTGCATCAGTGCGTGCTGCCGCTATTGCAATTCACTCAATCAGTCATGCTTTTTACCATTGATTAATACGCAACGCAGTCTTGATGAATGAGATTCTATTTATATATTGGACTAGCCTATACTAATTCCGTGTTCGATATTAAAGCGGCGAAGACAATTTAAGGCAAGCAGTTAGGTTTGAGTCAGTCGAGGAGACGGAGGGTCTGAAGTTTTCGCATGTGAGGTCTTAGTTTTCGTCGCACCCGATAAGCAAGATGGCAACAACCAACAGTGCTTTCAGAACAGAAACCAGAGATGAGCATCTTTACAATCACATAGAGTTGTTCAATAGGTCGTCTTCTCCAATTAATGCTCCTGCAGCAAACCGTTACCAAAATTGCAGAGAGCAACAACCGACAGAAAATCAGATCGCGACAGGTCGGCGTATGTACAGTGATTACAGAACAGAATCCAACAATGAACACCTTTACAATAACATTCAGTCAATCAATGAACCGTCTTCACCCGGCACCGAAAGCCAAGCAGCATACCAAACTTCCCACTGTAGTTTTCGTCGCACCCAACGAAGTGTGGCAGCACTCAATGCACTCAATAGTGCTTTCAGAGCAGAATCCAGCTATGAAAATCTTTATGATCATATAGAGTTATCTAATATGCAGTCATTACCCAGGTGTTTACCAAGCGGAGCCCCACCAGTAAACCAAGCTTACCAAGAGGAAGCAGTATACCAGAACTACGAAGGGAATAACAGACCAGTAGCAAGCAATAGTGCTTTTAGAGCAGAACCCAACGATGAACATCTTTATAATCACATAGAATTATCCAATAGACAGCCTGTACCAAGCGGATCCCCAGCGGCAAACCAAATTTACCAAGAAGAAGCAGCAAACCAGAATTACGAAGGGAATAACAGACCAGTAGCAACCAATAGTGCTTTTAGAGCAGAACCCAACGATGAACATCTTTATAATCACATAGAATTATCCAATAGACAGCCTGTACCAAGCGGATCCCCAGCAGCAAACCAAATTTACCAAGGAGAAGCAGCAAACCAGATTTACGAACGGAATAACAGACCACAAGAACCCATGAAAAATATTGCGATATGTTACCGTATGCCATTTGCTGTGATAGCTGTTCTGGTCCTATTCCTCTTGGCAACGGTTGGTGCATCGATCAGTTTAGCCATCATGACGTATTCTGACGGTAATTTTTTAGTTAATTTGAATGTGGCTAATTCTTATAATTCATGTTTTTAAACAGGTTGATCTGGATTGATCCAACCACCTTTCATCCCGAGGGGAACTCCCATATAAAAAAAGTGACAGGGGTGCTAAGCGGAAAATTAAAATTAAACTCCTAAGGAATACCAATGTGGGTGTGGCTAAAGCTTAAACTGACCTCTAAAGGAGAGCATACTGAAACAGACTTCACCGCATTTTTTCTAAATTTTTTTTTTGTGCACAGCCCTAAGCGATACTTGAATAGGCAAAATGTAGTGACCAAACACCTCAAATGAGGCCAAAATTTGCAATTTACACCCCTAAGTGACACAACAAGCATCACCAGTCACTTTTATATGGGAGTCCCCCCGGGTCTTTTACTTTATTTCATTTTACGCGGCGGATGGTATTGGCCATCTCCCGTTCCCTTTCACTAGGGCATTCGGTATGATAGGGTTTAGATGTCATTATTATTAGGCTACAAGCACTTTGGTGAACGAAAATCATATGATCTCTAGCTCCTTTATGAACTTTTTAAACCGGTTCATCTGGATTGATCCAACCATCTTGCAATCAGTATTTCATTTTAAGCAGAGGATGGCATTGGCCATCCCTCGTTACTTTTCTACAGGGCATTCGGCATGTTTTAGGGTTTAGATCATATTATTCTTAGGCCATAAGAGCGTGGAAGGCCCGAAATCATGCGATCTCTAGATGAATGACTCTAATGAGATGGGTAATATTTGATTCACTTTCCTTTATATATTTGTGGCTAGGGACGTCGCGAAAATAAAACAAGCCAAGCGAAAATAAGACGCGCTCGATCTGGGGGAAGGAAAAGGCGCGCTCTTTCGCATCACTTTTCACTGCACGACTACAAGTTACTAATAAATAATTAATAAATTTACGACCTACTTGCATACTCTACCTATTTACAAGTTGCTACTTTGGAACCAGGGAACAGGCTACGATACGCTAATAAGTTCCTCTGATCTGACGGGTCACAAGGGTGAGTCTATTCAAACCCCGAGAAAGCCAGAAGAATAATTCTTTCTTCCTCGAATAAGTTAAGGAATAAATCAAAGAAATCGAAGTGATCTCGAGATGTCTCGAACTAATTCGGCTCTCACTTCGTCAAATAGCCGAATAAAACGGAAAACCTACAGACTTTGCCTGCCCAATCTTGTCCCAAAAATGTCAACTTTGATACATTCCTGAGTGTCGCGAATCCTTTACTTCGCCCTCCGCCGAAGTAAATAGTGAAATTATCCTTTTCGTATACTTTCTATTGACAAATGGTAGCCGTTTTACATACCTAGTTTAGAATTACTTTAGCATCCTTTTAACTGCTGTAAACGCAATGCCTTTAAAATATGAAAATTCTCATTTGAACTTCAGATATCTTGCGGCTTCCGCCAACTTGTAAACACAGAACTTGAAAATGGACCTTCGTCACATTTGACTAAATACAGCACTCCAGACTTGTGGGAAAAAACTTAGTTCGTCAAAAGAACCCACTTGGAACTTGTATACCGTTTGACATAAGGTTCTAGAAAATACTAAAGAGTCGAATAGCAGTAGCTTTTTGACATTATTTTATGATTCAGTAACTGATGCAAATCTGCTGACTCTTGCCGAAATGTAAACATGCCCTAATTAATTGTTCATGAATAATCCAAAAACGTAGAGAACGTTCGAGAAAGTCACGCAACGCGTGAAACCACACTCAACAAAGACAAAACGTCTTTGTGCAGCATTTTGTAAAACAGTTCGAAAGGAGCGCTCACTCGTGAAATGTTTTTCAACACTCGAAGAGAAATTTCGTGTCTCTGCGCGGCCATGTAATATCCTCTATTCATTCCTCGAGTGAATTAAAGACTACACTCAAAGTGATCTCAAGATATCACGAAGTAGTCCCGTTTCATTTCGTGAAATAGCCGATACAAGCCGAAAAGTCACGAACTTGCGCGCCTAATCTTGTCCCGAAACTAGCTAGTGTATAATTTCATAGTTATTTTTCGTATCCCGAACTACCTTAGGTTGCGGTAGCGCAATCGGCTAATCCCTCAACTTAGAGTCTCCTCTGATCTGACGGGTCACAAGGGTGAGTCGGTTCAAACCCCGGGAAAGCCAGAAGAATAATTCTTTCTTCCTGGAATAATTTAAGGAATAAATCAAAGAAATCGAAGTGATCTCGAGATGTCTCGAACTAATTCGGCTCTCACTTCGTCAAATAGCCGAATAAAACGGAAAACCTATAGACTTTGCCTGCCCAATCTTGTCCCAAAAATGTCAACTTTGATACATTCCTGAGCGTCGCGAATCCTTCGCGCTCCGCCGAAGTAATTAGTGAAATTATCCTTTTCATGTACTTTCTATTGACAAATGGTACCTCTTTCAAATAACTAGTTTAGAATTACTTTAGCATCCCTGTAAACGCACTGCCTTTAATATATGAATTAATCACAAAACAATAAAATGCATCTGAGAGCCCTTTCGAGCGTTTCTACAGACCGAGATGACAAATTTTGCTACCCTTTCATATGTACAATGTATTCTACTTAATTAAATCAACTGGTAATAAACGAGACAATTAAAAATGAGCGAAGCGGGAATAACTGATATAAACTTTTCCAGAATCATTATACCATGCGGTCACTTGTCGTCAATATCCAAAACTCATAAAATCCATATAAAACTAATTAAACTGAAATGATTGACAATATTACAACAATGATCATAAACTCACTTCTATGGCGAGTTTTCTTCACCTTCCTTGATCTGGATAACCATGAAACAGTGTAACAGGAAAGCAGTAAATCACAGGGAACATAACATGTCCAATGCAGATCTCGGGTAAAACTAACTGTTTAACTAAAGTTGAGGTTAACCTACTGTTTTGAGTTTCCTGTTGCGCATGTACGACGCTACCGCGAATTCCTTAACGGTAAATTCTTTAAACAGTCCAATAATTACGTTTTTTCTACCTTAACATTCTCCGCCCCCATGAGGGCAGTGTCCTCATCCTAAACTACATGGTTAAGTAATCAGTCCTCATCCTTCTACTGGATAAATGACCACAATCTTGTAATGGGCCTTTGATACCCTGAGGTTGGCGTCTTCATCTTGACATTTCGAACTATGCCATCCTTTCCTGGGTAGACATTGATGATTCTTCCGATGTTCCAGTTTCCACGAACAGAGTTGAAATCTTCCATTATGACTATTTCATCCACTCTTACGGTGCGCGTTTCAGCACTCCACTTCGCTTTCTTGGGAACAACGATGAAAACACATCTCGGGTCCAACGTCTCCAGAAGGTGCCCACTATCTTCTGTTCGAACTCGACTCTATGTCGTGGGTTTCTGGTTTCTCTGAACTGTCCTTGTGGCACCATTGATGTGGCTCGTCCGAGCATGTCGTTGGGACATAGATACGAGCCGTCATCTTGGTCGTTAGGAATTCTACTAATGGGGCGTTGATTAATCAGGTTAGCCACTTCCAGTAAGCAGGTGTAAAATTCAAATGGCGTCAGGATTTGTTCAACAATTGCCTTCTTTAGGACTTTCTTGGCGCCTTAGCTTTAACTAAAGCTTCTGCGCAGCCGTTTTGATGCGGTGCTCACGGCGAAATAAACTGCCATCTCATTCCTTTTTCGACGCTAAATTCTTTAAGTTCTTTATGATTCCACCCTTGGATCATCTCTCTGAGTTCGAGCTCTGCGTCCACAAGCTGAGAACTGTTATCACATATCATCAGCTCAGGTTGTCCTCTGATGGCGAACAATCGTCTCAGCGTCTGCATAAATTCAATGGCAGGATAAGTTACAGCCAGCTCCAGGTGTGCAGCTCTCGTCTTCATGCAGGCAATAATTACTCCATAATGCTTGATGGTTGTGTTTCGGCTCATATTTACTTTGTACGGTCCAAAGTAGTCACATGCTGTGTAATGAAATGGAGGCGTGAACGGTTCCAAGCGAATTATGGGCAGGTCAGCCATGAGTTGCGTTTCAGTTTGTGCTTCAATCTCTCTGCAGAACATGCATCGGAACTTTACAGACCTGGCCAAATCATGAGCTCTTATGATCCAAAACAGTTCGTTGTGATCTTCGCTACCGTGGTTGCCACTCCAGCGTGTCCGATTTGATGGAAGTGTCGAGTTATCAGAAGAGATATCCAGTGTTCTCGGGGGAGCGTAGCTTTGTGTTTGGTTTCATAGGAAACCAAGGCTTCATCTACTCGACCACCAACTCTGATTATTCCGTTCTTGTCTTAAAACGGGCGGGCTATTGGAGATCTTCTTTTTTCAGGCGGTCTTGGAGCGTTTTCTGCGGCTTTCTTTAACCCAGCACTTCTCGTCTTTCCCCAGTTCTTGAGGCGCCAATGGTCCACGGCTCAATAGCATCTTGTGTTCGGGAGTTTCGGGTAATTTCTTTCCTTGGCATTGGGTATGCAAATTCCAGATGAATCTAAATACATAGGCGCTTAGCTTGTTCTGACAGGTTTTCTCCAGTTTGAAAACTTCTTGCAGTCGATAACCTCGAGGGAACATGTGAGAAGAATGGCTTGAGTTTTACGGCGTTCTTTTCCTACTTTTTTTAAATAAACATATTTATTGCAGCATTTGCTCTAAGAGCCTAAAGAGCTCATCTAGAGAGCTTACAAATGCACGTCAAGATCGAACACACACAGACA